GTATTGAAGCCAATCTAACTTCAAATAGTAGTCTCTTCCGCCTTGAGAAATTGCAGAGCCTCAACCTTGCTTACAACGATTTTAGCTACCCTAATCTCTCTTTTGGGTTCGACCGTTGGAAGAGTTTGACATATCTTAATCTTTCAAGTACGGATTTCATTTCTTTTTCTTTTGTTTAAATCTCCATGCTTCCAAAACTGGTTTCACTTCTTCTAATGTGACAAATCTTTAATCTTGCAGGTTCAACAGACTTCGATGGCTCTCTCCCGATTGATGAGATCTTCTTGCTACCGAAATTGGTTTCACTTGATCTCTCTGATAATTATCTTTTGTTTATTGACAACATAAAGTTTCAAATGCTTGTGCATAATTTAACAGAATTAAGGTTTCTTATCCTTGATTCTGTGAATATGTCTCTGGTTGTGCCTTCTTCCTTGCTAAACTTGACTTCTTCCTTGGAGCATTTGAGCCTTAGGTTTTGTAGTTTGCAAGGAAACTTTCCAAGCCAAGTTTTTCCGCTAACGAAATTGGTTTCACTCGATCTCTCTGTTAATTATGATTTGCTTTTTGACAACATAAAGTTTCAAATGCTTGTGCATAACTTAATAGAGTTAAGGTTTCTTATCCTTGATTTTGTGAATATGTCTCTGGTTGTGCCTTCTTCCTTGCTAAACTTGACTTCTTCCTTGGAGCATTTGAGCCTTGAAGGTTGTAGTTTGCAAGGAAACTTTCCAAACCAAGTTTTTCAGCTTCCATCTCTCCAGCTTCTTGATCTAAGCTACAACTTTGATTTAGGAGGTAATTTACCTGAGTCAAACCAGAGTAGTACCTTTGAGTATTTGTATCTTGCAGACACAAACTTCTCAGGAGAGTTGCCTCATTTAATCAGAAATCTTAAACTCCTTAAGGAATTGGATCTTGATAGCTGCCAATTTTATGGATCAATTCCTGGATCTCTTGCAAATCTTACAGAGATAACTCACCTAGATTTTTCTTCCAACCATTTGTGGGGGCAAATACCAGATGTTTTTGGAAAAATACACAAGCTAACTGATTTGAGCTTAGATGCAAACAATTTTGGTGGTGAAATTCCTGCATCAATCTTCAACCTCACCCGTCTTACTTTTTTGTCACTATCATCAAATAAGCTATTAGGTCGTGTACCACCTTGGTTGTTTTCTCTGCCTTCTTTATACCATTTAGACCTTTCAAACAATTGCCTTACCAGACCTATTGATCATGTTGAGATGCCCAATCTCATTTTACAAGAAGTCTATTTGTCCAATAATGAGATAAGTGGTTCAATTCCTAGCTCCTTCTTTGATCTTGTGCATCTTACTATAGTCGACCTTTCTTCAAATAACTTAACTGGCACCATTACACCCGACATGCTTTCGAAGCTTGTAGACCTTGAGTATCTTGATCTTTCCAATAATAGTTTGTTGTCTTTGAGCAATAATGGCACTGCTGTCAACTATTCCTTTCCGAACCTCTTGTCTTTAAAATTCTCTTCTTGCAACATACACAAGTTCCCAAGTTTCTTAAGGAAGGCAGAGAGTTTGACAATATTTGATATTTCCAAGAACAACATTTTTGGTCAAATTCACAAATGGGAAATAGAAGGGATGTCATTGGATACATTAGACCTTTCTTATAACTTCTTGACTGGTATAGATTTATTTGGTTTTGGAAATCTTAAATCTGTTGACCTCAGATCTAACATACTACAAGGATCACTTCCCATTCTCTCAACAACTTGGGATTCTATGCAAAAACTCTTCATGTCAGGGAATAATTTGACTAGTGTAATCCCTTCTTCTTATTGCAATTTGAGTTCTCTTGAAGTTCTAGATTTAGCTAATAATTGTTTGGGAGGAAAAATTCCAGAATGTCTTGGAAAGTTGAGTGATCTCTCCATCTTGGATTTGCGGATGAATAAGTTTCATGGTATAATACCAAATTCTTTTGTCAATGGGAGTAGACTGAGAACTCTTAACCTAAATGGCAACCAGTTGGAAAGGAGACTGCCATCATCTTTGGGAAATTGCAGTGAGTTGGAAGTTCTAGATGTTGGGTACAACTCCTTGAATGATACCTTTCCATATTGGTTAGGTGTTCTTCCGTGGCTAAAAGTTCTAATCCTTCGATCTAATCGATTTCATGGTGCCATCAGCAATTCTATGCCTGCATTTTACTTCCCTCAGTTGAGAATAATTGATGTCGCACATAATGATTTTATGGGTCTCCTACCAAGTAACTATTTCAAAATTTTGAAAGGTATGAGAGATGTAGCTCCAGCTGATAAAGCCAAATTGGAATACATTGGTGATAATATGCCAGCTGTTGAACTCAAAGCAAAACACATTTCTTATTGGCCGCTAAGAAGGGATACCTCTCATCTAAGTCTTTGTGGTGCCTCATATGTTTCTCAATGTTTGGGCTTATTTTCTCCTCTTCCTTATAAGTTTTCTGTAAAGGTAGTAATGAAAGGGTTAGAGGTGGAGCTTGAAAGGATCTTGACAATTTTCACAACCATTGATTTCTCAAGCAATCGATTCCATGGGGAAATTCCTAAAGAGCTAGGAGAACTCAATTTACTTTTATTGCTAAACTTATCTCACAATAGTCTCAGTGGTCAAATCCCGTCATCATTGGGGAAATTAGCAGAACTCGAGTCATTAGATCTCTCATCAAACAAGCTTGAAGGCAGGATTCCAGAGCAATTGACAAAGCTAACGTTCCTATCAGTTTTGAATCTTTCACACAATGAACTTGTGGGCCACATACCTGAAGGGAAGCAGTTCAGTACTTTCTCAAATGATTCCTACATTGG